TCAGAAAAATGTTATTGAATAGGTTAATGCTGTTGTAATGAAATGCTTCTTCTAATTAAAAATAATAATAATAAGCATGCTTCCAGTGGTCTGAAAGACTGTTTTCCTATGTTCATGGACCAACCCTGGCTCTTATAATCTTTCCACCTCCTTTTCTGCAATGATCCCTGAGCTTTGGGTGGGTGAGTTTTAACATAGGAGCCCTATCCAGAGACACACACCCTACAGTCTCATATTCTCTAAAATTTAGCTAGTTGTGGCCTTCTTTGTGCATCAAATTCTGTTGTATAAGGAATCTTTGTTGGTGAGAGTTGAGGGATGCACTAGTATTCCCTCCACCCTCTGTGTCATATTGAGTTATTTCAGTTCTTGTGGTTTAGGTTTTTCAGTTCTTTGCATATTATAGGTATTAATCCTATGTCAAATGCATAGTGAACAAAGACTTTCTCCTATCCTGTTGTCCATCTCTATACCTGGTTAACTGGTTCCTTTGTTTTGTAAAAGCTTCTTAATTTCATAAGGCCCCATTAGCCAATTGTTGATATTGTTTTCAAATGACTGGATTTCTATTTGGAAATTCTTTCCTGATTCCTATATCTTGAAGGGTTTGCCTACCATTTTCTCCTACCATTTCAGTCTTTCATGAAGATCTTTTATCCAGTTGGAGTTGATTTTTGTGCTCTTTGATATGTACTAGAATGAAGACATAGATAAGCCCATGAAGTTATAGCTCCCTGATTTTTGACAAAGGTATTGAAAGTGTATATTGAGAAAAGACAACCTCTTCAATAAATGCTGTGAGGAGAACTATATGTCAAGTAGAAGAATGAAGCTAGATCCCTATCTCTCACTGTGCACAAAAATAACTCAATCAATATGAGCTAAAGAAAAGAATACATAGTTCAAGAAAGAAAGAAACTGACCAATAAAAATTTGGAAATAATGTTCAGTCTCACTAGTGATCAGTGAAGTAGAACATGAACTACATTGAAATTATGCCTTACCCCAGTCAGAAAGGCAGCTATGGGACCAGAGAGTTGGCACAACAATTAAGAGCACTTACTCCTCATTAGAGGACCCATGGCCGTTACTAGTTTCCTGACCTCTCTGGATTTTCAAATTGAAACATGGAAAATTAAGATTTCAAAGCCATGAGAGAGAACAAGCAACCTTTGTTTTCTGGGTCTGGGTTACTTCACTTAGGATGATTGTTTCCAATTCCATCCATTTATCGACAAACTTCATATTTCTGCTTTTTAAGAGTTGTATAATACAGTATTGAATTCAAAGCCTCAACTCCAATGGCTGAGGGTAATAGTGATGGAAGGTCCTATCCTTGCTACCTGAAGAGAACACTAATCATCAAACCTACCCAGCTATGAATCTTGCAAGGTATAACAGCAACTGAATTGGAAAGATGTGCCCAACAGAGCAATAGTGATATGGGTCCCCTCCATAAGATGGAGCCCACAACACACATTGATATCAGGCCTAGGAACCTGAAGCTAGACAGGTCACAAACCATAGTGGAGTGCAAAATATTATTATTATTCTAAATAGATATAAAATAAACTGACTCTTAATGATTTATTGTCATATCCACAAGTTAACATATCTCTCAACTCTAACAGGAGAAACTTCCTTATGAGTGAGGTGGTGATTAACACAGAGAACCACAACTGGCCAACATGCAAAAAATAGGAGGCTGCAGACTGCCAATTCCTGAATAGGACATCAGTATCAATCTTCTGCTTCCCCAAGCTCAGAGATCATTGCCAAAGAGGGTAAGAGAGATTGTAAAAGTCAGAGGTGATGGATGACCACAAAGAAACAGTTTTCCAGAGCATTGGGCATTTACTCATACTCATTCACAACAATGGTGACAGCTTGCATGGGTCCCACATAGTCTCAAGATAGACAAAATCCTAACAGAGACATGGGGAAGTAAGAAACTCCAACCTTACTGAAGAACTGTTGGTAACTGATGGCTACTTAGGGAAAAGTCAGTCTTCTTTAAGGGTGTGATCCTTGGTATGTTGACCAGGCTCCAGTGGATGGACCCACACTGAAAGTCATTTGAGGACACAAATTTGACTCTATAGGCCTTACACACACACACACACACACACACACACACACTAGTGTAAATGAATTTGGGTGGGGAGTATTAGGTGGAGATACAGATGGGGGAGGGATCCAAATATGATCCAAGTATATTGTCTGAAACTAAAACCAGGTAAAATTTCATCATGGTGGGGGCAGATGGTCCTGAAGTTCTGTGCCTAGCTGAGGAGCTATTGTCAAGGGATAGCTGCTGGGAGAGGAAGAGTCTCTTCTTGTCAGGCATGGGAACACTCAGAG